AAAAAAAAAAAAAAAAAAAAAAAAAAAAAAAAAAAAAAAAATGTGAGGGCACGAGATTTGGGAGGGGCCAGGGGTGGAATGATATGGTTTGGCTGTGTCCCCACCAAAATCTCATCTTGAATTTCCATGTGTCATGGGAAGGACCCAGTAGGAGGTCATTGAATCACGGGGCAGGACTTTCCTGTGCTATTCTTGTGATAGTGAATAAGTCTCACAAGATCTGCTGGTTTTAAAAAGGGGAGTTTCCCTGCACAAGCTCTCAATTAATTCTCTTGTCTGCCCCACGTGAGATGTCCCTTTCACCTTCCACTATGATTGTGAGACCTCCCCAGTCAAGTGGAACTGTGAGTCCATTATACCTCCTTCCTTTGTAAATCACCCAGTCATGGGTATGACTTTATCAGCAGCGTGAAAATGGACTACTACACACCAGATACCCTAACTCATCTCTGTCAAGTTCAAAGTTCCACAAATCTCTAGGGCAGGGGCAAAATGCCACCAGTCTCTGCTAAAACAATATGAGCCACTCTTGCTCCAGTTTCCAATAAGTTCCTCATCTCCATCTGAGCCCACCTCAGCCTGGACTTTATTGTTCACATCGCCATCAGCATTTTTGTCAAAGTCATTCAACAAGTCTCTAGGAATTTCCAAACTTTCCCACATTTTCCTGTCTTCTTCTGAGCCCTCCAAATTGTTCCAGCCTCTGCCTGTTACCCAGTTCCAAAGTTGCGTCCACATTTTCAGGTACCTTTTCAGCAGTGACCCACTCGACTGGTACCAATTTACTGTATTTGTCTGTTTTCCACTGACGATAAAGACATACCTGAGACTGGCAATTTACAAAAGAAAGAGGTTTAAAAAAAATAAAATAAAATAGAAAAAAAAACAAAAAACAAAAGAAAGAGGTTTAGTTGGACTCACAGTTCCACGTAGCTGGGGAGGCCTCACAATCATAGTGGAGGTAAAGAAGGAGCAAGCCACATCTGTGGATGGTGGCAGGCAAAAAGACTGCTCCCTTCATAATTTTCAAAAGAAAATTGAGAAATTATAGAAATTGAAATATGTTTTTAAACTTGTAGTGAGTAGCAGAGTCAGATAAGACAAAGACTCCAGCAGGGACTGGGATAAGAGGAGGATCTTTTGAAAACTCCAAAGACAAGGATATAGATTTCCAGTGTTTCTTCACCTCCACAGTTGGATGCAATCTCTTTCCTCTGAACAATTTGCAGACTTCTCCTTGGCTCTCTATAGTACTTATTATTTTCTACCTTATTTTAGGATTGTTTTTAATGCAGGTTTAATCTCACTTTCTAAACCCATTCCACTGTGCACAAGACTATGCCAACCTACCACTGAAGTCTGAGGAAGCTGAGAGGCTAAAGAGGCTGACATATCCAGTTTTTCAGAAAGAAACATTTCAGCTGGGCACGGTGGCTCACACCTGTAATTCCAGCACTTTGGGAGGCTAAGGTGGGCAGATCACGAGGTTAGGAGTTCAAGACCAGTCTGACCTACATAATGAAACCCTCTCAACGAAAAATACAAAAAATTAGCCAGGTGTGGTGGTGAGCGCCTGTAATCCCAGTTACTTGGGAGGCTGAGGCAGGAGAATCGCGTGAATCCGGGAGGCAGAGTTTGCAGTGGGCCAAGATTGCACCACTGCACTCCAGACTGGACATCAATGTGAGAGTCCATCTCAAAAAAAAAAAAAGAAACATTTTATAGGGACTTATGAACAGAAGCCATATTTGTGTCCTTGGGTGAATCCAGGAGGCGGAGGTTGCAGTGAGCTGAGATTGTGCCATTGCACTCCAGCCTAGGTGACAGTGCGAGACTCCGTCTCAAAAAAAAAAAAAAAAAGAAAAGAAACATTTCATAGGGACTTATCAACAGAACGGTGGTAAGACAAGATGATGGGTCCCTGCACCATTGCCCACAAGACCCAGGGCTTATATACCTTAGGGAAAATGTGATTTGGAAGGGATCTGTGTGTAGTCTAAAATGCAACCGATTTGCACCATGAAGGGGTCACTGATATAGAGGTATGCTTTATTGATCTTACACTGGTGTCTATATATATATATAGGAATAGAAGGTGACATATATCAATAGGTCCATGCTTTTTCTGAAATCATTCTGAAATTAGACTTGTCCATTTGCCATCTGAATGTCAGTGTTGTTTTCATATATACAGTTAGTTTTAGTTTATACATGTTTACATACCCATTTCCTTTTTTTAAAATTTCAAATTTTATTTTAGTTAGGTGGGGTACATGTGCAGTTTCGTTACATGGGAATATTGTGTGATGCCAAGATCTGAAGTATGAATCCTGTCACCCTGGTAGTGAGCAAAGTACCCAGTAGTTTTGTTTTGTTTTATTTTGTTTGAAATGCAGTCTTGCTCTGTCGCCCAGACTAGAGTGCAGTGGCATGATCTCGGCTCACTGCAACCTCTGCTTTCCGGATTCAAGCAAGTCTCCTCCCTCAGCCTCCTGAGTAGCTGGGATTACAGGTGCACGCCACCACACCTGGCTAATTTTTTGTATTTTTAGTAGAGACCAGGTTTCACTATATTGATCAGGCTGGTCTTGAACTCCTGATCTCATGCTCCACCCACCTCAGCCTCCCAAAGTGTTGGGATTACAAGCACGAGTCACTGCGCTCAGTTTTTTTTTTTTTTTTTTTTTTTTTTGAGACAGAATTTTGCTCTTGTTGCCCAGGCTAGAGTGCAATGATGCCATCTTGGCTCACTGCAACCTCCACCTCCCGGGTTCAAGTGATTCTCCTACCTCAGCTTCCCAAGTACCTGGGATTACAGGTGTGCCACCATGCCTGGCTAATTTTTGTATTTTTAGTAGAGATGGGGTTTCTCCATGTTGGCCACGCTGGTCTTGAGTTCCTGATCTCAGGTGATCTGCCTGCCTCGGCCTCCCAAAGTGCTGGGATAACAGGTATGAGCTACCGTGCCCGGTGTTAGCTCCCACTTACAAGTGAGAACATGCAGTATTTGGTTTTCTGTTCCTGCATTAATTTGCGTAGGATAATGCCCTCCAGTTCCATCCATGTTGCTGCAAAGGACACAATTTCATTCTTTTTTATGTCTGTGTAGTAGTCCATGGTGTATACGTACCACACTTTCTTTATTCAATCTACTATTGATAGGTACTTGATACCCAGAATTCTTGAAGAAGTGTTTCTGTTTATAATGATATTGTAGAGGATTAAAGATGAGTGCAATTTTTTTTTTTTACATTCCTCCTGTTGAGAGTTGTGTATCTATGTCTCTTCCCCTTGAACCTGAGCTGGTCTATGCCTGCTTTGACAGTACTGTGGAAGCGATACTGTACCAGTGCCAATCATAGCCTTTAACAGGACTAGAAATTTCCACGTTGGTCTCTTGGAGCCCTGTGTTGTCACATAAGAAGTCTGGCTACCCTGAAGTGCCATGGTGGGATAGCTGTGTTGAGAGGGGAGAGGGAGGGACGGAAGGGATGTCTTAGGCAGCTGCCAGCTGTGATTTGTATCATCTAGTCCAGCTGAGGCTCCAGACATTGCAAAGCAGAGAGAGATGAACCTCCCTCCTGACTTCTTTGAATTCCTGACCCTCAGAATTGTGAAAATTATATCACAAGTATAAATTGTTTTAAGCAACAAAGTTTGGGAGCAGTTTATTAAGCATCATTAGTTAGCTGTGTTTTTGGAGTGTGGTGATGGTTTCTGTGGACACTGCCCTGGGAACATGAGTCGTCACATTCCCTCCTTTTTCATTTCCCATTGCAACCAATAAAGGCTGTTCCTACTATTAGAGAGGGAGAGAGAAAGAAGAAAAAATCCCCCCAAATCATTAACTAGAAGAGTTGTTTTAAGATAACCAACTATTATTTTAATTCACTAATGTGTATACAAAGATTACATAAAGAAATTGAGTACACATGTTGCATTTAAAAAATGTAGGTTCTTTGTACAAAATTAAAATGAATTTAAGCAAACATTTTAACATTTTAAAAATTAATCATTGATTGATTGATTGATCGAGATGGAGTTTTGCTCTTGTTGCCCAGGCTGGAGTGCAACGGTGCAATCGTGGCTCACCGCAACGTCCGCCTCCTGGGTTCAAGCGATTCTCCTGCCTCAGCCTCCTGAGTAGCTGGGATCACAAGCACCCACCACTATGCCTGGCTAATTTTGTACTTTTAGTACAGAAGGGTTTCTCCATGTTTGTCAGGCTGGTCTCAGACTTCTGATCTCAGGTGATCCACCTGCCTTGGCCTCCCAAAGGGCACCTGGCCAATCACATATTTAATATTAAGTTTTTAGAAACATTATTATTTAAAAAATAACTGACACTGCTTTAACAGTGATTAATTCACCATGGTATAATTAGCAAGAATGATGCATTTTATTTTATTTTATTTTTTTATTTTTTTTTTTTTGAGACGGAG